GCCTTTTTAAAGCTTTTTAATTGGGCACGGGCTTAGCTTTCTCTTCAAATATGTCGCGTGCTGCATTGCACGGGGACATAAAACAATTTTAATTATAATTCTACTAAAAAATCGCCAACTAAATACAAAATCGGTAACAATATTTTAATACAGATAGATTATAGGTTAGAATTGAAAATTACTAACGAAATAGGAAATACGAGAAACAAGATAGGAAGTACAAATACTAGCGTTTTAATTTCAGCCACAGCCCATATTCTATATGCAGGGTCCCAATAGCGATAGAGCGATAAAAGCCGCTGAACACTGGTAGTTCTGCCCGAGATTCGAGTGCCGACGAAGGAGCTAGCTGCATGTTTTGAAAACTGTAAGTAAGTTTATTACAGATTTCAATTCAAAATTCTAAATGAAGGAAAAAAGTTTCTGCTAGCTTATTTCTTCCAAAGGTTCTAATCCGGGCCAAGCTTGCTTGGAAAAAATTTCAGCGAACTGTGCTTGAAATCTATTCCAAGAAAATACTTTATTTCAAATAATTCTTGCATCTCGAACAATAAAAAAACGTAGTTACGAAACACTGCATACCTACACAAACACAGATAATCGAAAAAGAATTACAGACGACGTGTCTTTTGAAATCTGAACTCTTGTTACCAATGTTAATGACACAAAATATATCATTTCCCGTCGCGCGCCATCTGGTGGAAACAGGATCGTCTTTTACTTATTTATTTATTTATTTTATTTGGAGGCTAATTTCAACAGCATGGGTGTTTTCGTGGTTTCCCTATGTGTAACATGGATAGGAGCCATTCTTTTAAGGGACATCCCTCCTTTTCTGTATAATGACAAATAGCACAACAAGTAATAAATAAATGGCCTCACCAGGACCAAGTGGCTGAAACTACTGAATACTGGTAGTTCGACCTGTCATGCAAATCAGGCTAACGAGCTGGCATGTTTCGTTTTCGTGGTTTTCCCCATGTGTAATACATATATTAGCCAGTTTTCCTAAAAAAGTCTTCCACGAAGGCATCCCTCCTCATAGGCCAATAACCCTCGTGGCTTTGCTCTGTTCAAATAGTCTAACCTAACCTAGCCTATATGCAATGAATACGGTAATAGTGGTCAGCTTAGGGGGTGGCCAATTCTCCCCATAGAACGGAAAAATGAATGGTTGCAAGGACTGGAAGATAAGAAACACTGGTGTCTGAATCCGAAGGTAAGCTCCCCGGAGAGGTGACTTCCCTAGGTGAGATCACGCTGTTTTTTTAATTATGTAACTTTTGGTATGTATCTTTCCTTTATAATAAAAAGGCCACATAAAGAGCTTCTTAGTATAAAGTGGATTTTACGTTTTTTTCCCAAATCCTACCTTTCCCTACCTCAAACCCTACCTATTTCTGTATTTATTACAAAAATTTTAATTTGTTAGAGAAATTTAAAGGAGGATGGATGAGGGCTGCAGTTTTAAGTTTTTGCCCCACCTCGGCAAAATCCAAGATATGGCGCTGCCAGGAGGCTTGTGACAAATGTTTACGTCAAATGGCAAAATTTCTATTTTACTAATATACAGCCTTCTCGAACTTAAAATAATAAACACCTCAAACAGTGTGTTCTTAGGCGTGTTTAATATAATATATATAAGTAAATAATATTCGTGAAAATTAAAGAACTTTATGGTAAGTACCAGTTAATTCAAATATAACGGCGGTATCTGTTCTCTACCTACTATAAATTTCGCAAAGCATATAATTGGCTAATCAAGAAACTTAACGACAGATGGAAACCTACGTCTATTTTGCTCCTGGCTAAATAAAAAATACTCTTTTGCTGTAATTTTTACTTTTTCTATATTCTATTTTTTCATTACTTTTTTTTTTTTCTTGGCTATTATAGAAACATTCCTTCCAAATTTATGTCAACATTATTTCAACCTGTTATCATACATTTTGTACCAAATGCTGCATAAAAATCGGTGCTGGCAATTTTATCTTTTGAAAGAGTAAAAATCGTTTAATTGATTGCTTGTGACAAAGCATTCAGTACCTGTTTCATCTCGGGGAAGAAACGCCTTCTCAGAAAACTTGCTGACTTCTATCTGCGTCAGATCTTGGGAAAGCCACGTGTAATAAGATCATTCAGCTTGGACAAAGTGTTTTGCAAGTAGGATTTGGTTTATTTGTTTATGGTAAAACACGCGAGGGCTATCGGCCTACTTTCCTATAGAGCTGTCTAAGGTAAATGGCTCGTATCCACGTTACACATGAGGTAAACCACGAAAATGCCTATGCTGCCAGGCCGTTCGTCTGGAATCGAACTCAGGTCGGACTATCAGGCTTCAACGACCGCTGATGCCCTCCTTGTTTGGCAACTTACTAGGGATACTCAACTAGGAATGTGCCAGCTCAGTAGAATGTAATAGCCTCGATGCTTCGCGTATGCTTGATAGTCAGTCGTAGGAAAAAAAACAGCTTTTATATTGAGTCTTAAGAACTGAGAATTTTTTATGTAACATTGTCTTATATTCAATTTTTCAAAATACATTATAACACGATTACGAAATTCCAATCTATTTCTGCTGATGCATATGAGCTAGGTTCCGCCAAGCCCCGCCTAAACTTTCATACTAGCTTTGAGGCTTTGCAGTTCCAATGCCATGTTTAATTTTTTTGTGAGGTCGTTTCTCATCTCATGGCTTTACCCCATGTAGTGCCAAATCAGTCAGTAATGAGACGGAAAATAATCGATGTAGTAGATGATGATATTCTTTTACATTTCCTAATTCGCTGTGCATTTCATGAATTATTAATTACAATTTAATCTGTCCTGTTAACAAGATTATAAATTACATTTAAAATAGTTTTACAGAATGAAAAATAATTATTTTGCAAAAATCCAACTACTTAGTTTATTTTTCAGTACAATTATTAATCGAATCTTAAAAGAATAAAAAATAAAGTTTGGGTCTTCAGGACTGGCAATAGGCGCTTCTCTTTCTCCTTTGCTGATAATACCCGCCATTAAAAATTAATTAAAAAATTAATTTTGTTTAGTTAAAAAATACATAAGAATTAAACTGGGGTTCTTACAGACATTTTGCTTTCAGAAAATTGTGCTATCACACATTACAAATATCAGAAGATTATCAAGAAATAACTTGAGCTAATCGAATAATCAGCTAATAATTGCATCTTTTAATTAAATCGAAAAGTTGTTCATGGTAATTTTTCATTTATTCATACTTTAGCTTGTACATTTGTAGCAATCTTCGCTTGAAGGGTTTTATCTACTATTAAATAGAATAATAGCAAGTAATTTTCTCCTTCGTAATAAAAATACTAACACTTTACGCTAAAATTTCGCTCTAATTGTTTTTTAAAGAAAAACATTCAATAAAGCAATTTAAAATTAACGATGAATGACTTGTCTTTCACCTTGTGTTATAGACCACGTTCTCGTTATGTAAGGTAAATTTTACTCAGAGCGAAAAATTATGCACTTCATTACACAAATGGAATAAGAAATCCTATTATTAAAACAAAAATAGTTAAAAATCTAAATATATGTTTGCACATTTTTTAATTATTTACTTTAAATTTGCTTTTTTACGTATACATGTTTGTTAAAAATCTAAATACATATTTTATCAGAGCTTTATATATTTTATAAACATACTCATTTAAGTTTTTATCAAGTAATTACTTTATTCTTTAACACTTTTATGAAGTTGATTAATAATATGAAAAAGATGCAAGAGATGCATAAAATTCCTCCTGTGCATTTTTGTATAAAATTTATCAAGAGTTATTGCATTTCCCCATGCGTGTGCTCCCGTGATGTAAGTGGTTAACTCGTCCAGCTAGCAAATGGAAGATACGTGGTTCAAATTCTGGGTACGCACACGACGACTTAATGAGATATAATCACATGCAGTTTATTGAAGACGAATTCTAGGTATTAAAAAAGTAAAACAATGAGTGAATGTATTTAAAATAATTTATTAATCTAATTTCTAAAAATTTTAATTAATTATATTTTTAATTGAAAAAATATTTTTTTATTTTTTTAATGCAAACACATTATTATATATTAGGTGTAGCCTAAATTATTCTTGTATCAGATTAAATTTCTCACCTACAGAATAACGGTTACCTGCCTCATCCTACCCTCCTTTCAGTAGCGATTGAGAGCACCATAGGGACGAACCGGATCTCGTATCTCTCTTCTCCTATCAACCACCTCTCGGTAGGAGTTTGAATTGAAATTTTGTCTCTTAGCAAAAATATGACAGTTCATACGTATCTATTCCTTATTCGGGATTCGAACATGAATCCGTCAGCGTGGCAGTAGACGTTACTAATTATCATACTGACAAAATGAGCGAATTCTTTTTTGAAATTGTGCATGCATACATACACACACATAGCAATAATTAAATGAATGCAATGCATTCCAAACTTCCAAGTAAAGAATATTTTACTAAAAAATTAAAACGAAATGCTATAAAATATTCAAAGTTGTAATTTTAATTTGTTTTTTACATATTTTATTTCCATGTACTCTTTTGTGTCGCTGCTGCTTAAGAGAAGTCGAAAAGTAGAACGCGCAAGGCTGAGGGGGACTCACGGTATTTCAATCCGAGGTGATGTCTAAGGCGATTGAGGAATCATAGTACCTTCATTTACATCTGTATTTATAATCATATATCTGTGTTTCAGGATTAATTTCAAACAATAATAAAGTTCATATATGACTACAATTTTAAAATTCAAGCTGTAAGATTTAGAATAAAAAAATATAGCTTTTATCACTGATACGTACTTATAGTCTGGACAAATATTCTGGTTTACCCCATATTAAGCATGCTGTTTGAAAAATTTGTGCTATACAAGTACAAATAAAACTATGATTTTTGTCTTTTCTTCTTTTTTATAATTTGCTATTTGTTTTTATTTTTCGTGTTTATCGTTTTACGTTTAACCGTATCGTTTAGTTAGCTTAACAAGAAGATAAATTCAAGTTGCGATTTGATTGTTGTGAGAATCTTAAGCAATCTAGGGAACCTGCTTAATTCTGTTAATTAAATAAAAACATTATATATTATTATTTTTGAATTATTAATTTTACTTGAGGCCATATCGATTGCGAACGTGTCCTGTGCATTGTTAGCAATGGAAGAAAAAGGCGTGCATGTTTCGTGAACTTGAATGACCGCAGAATTCTTAAAATTGCATTATTTACGTAGCAGTTGATCTAATTTGGATGATCAAGCATCAACATGGATCTACAACAATGTTAAGAATTATTTAATTATGCGCATTAGAAACTGATAATGGCGATCGATAGTGAATTTTCTCCGTAACAATTAAAATGGCGCATGGTACTGGGCTCAAGCTTGAAGAAATGTTGCAACAAAAAAAAATTGACGTGACTGGAAATGGAAAGGTAAGTGATTCTTTATTTAATCTAAATTATATTGCAATAGAAAATAAATTATTTGGAATCGAATCTATGTAAATAAATGTTATTAAAATAGGATATGTCACAGCTGTCCACAATATCAAGAATTCTTTAAAGCTTGAAGATTGACAAAAACAAAAAAAAGTGCAATATGTAACATATGAAGAATAAATACTTACCTTATTCAAAATCAAGATGAATTAGAATATTGTAGTATAAATTGAGGTTGTGAGTGTTCGTTACATTATTATATTATTTTTATACAATTCGTAACACAGATTCATTGTAAACATCAAATCTTAATAATGTCAACAAAGTTAATTTTTATTTGATTTCTATTACTAATAGTACAGGCTTTTATGCAGAGTATTAATTTTCTATCTTTCTTTTAATTACTGAATGTGTCGTATTTGTTAAGAGTCAATTCTCTGCATCCCATTTGTGCACTTTATTCTCTTTTATTGAAATGTTTAATTTTTTGTGTCCTTAATTAATCGAGTATTTACTTGCAATTATAAAAGGTATTAAAATGTAAACAACTAAGTCATTCATGCTCTTTAAAGTTTAATTGAAAATAATTCAGCTGAAGTGCAGTTTAAGGTAATCTGATGAATCTTTCAGATTTAAAATTTTCTAAGACGTCTGTGATCTGGAAAAGTAAATAATTAAAAGACATACAATTTTCTATCACCACAAATAAAAAAGTGGTGTAAATAATGAACTTCCAATATATTTTATTGAAAGTTTAAATTGAGCTTTTTTCCAATAAGATTGCTTTTGTAATAAACATAGCCATTATTATAAAAGAATGAGCAAATAAACAAAAAAAAAAAAAAAAATACTGAAAATGACTTATACAGATGTAAGGAGGTACATTGCTAACTTGTAGAAGGTTTACTTTTTTTGTACTGTCATGCATTAATTTCCCATGGCCTTTCAGATGAATATATTAGTATAAATATATATATATTACAAAAAAAATTTTCTTCAGCGATTTGAAACAAATCATTGATATTATGTTTCTAATATCATTGGGGATATTAGAAACATAATATCAATTTCTAATATCATTACATTATTGTGCAGGATTTTAGAAATTACTCTTTTTATCTAGACACAAAATATTGCATTCCTTTATGTAAATCATTTATTCAATCTGTAGATATTAAGATTTGTAAATAAGTGTTATATGAATAAAGAAATATGTTAAAAATAAAACTGATAACCATGTCTGTTCGATTGTTATCTAAAAAAATATGCTATTAAAAAACAAGTTGGAGTTAAAAAATGTATACATTAAAATCTTATGTAGATCATAAACCTAAATGTAAGGACAAAAGTTAAAAATTTAGGATGCTTTTTAAAAAATCAATTTATTTTTTTACAAACAGTTGTAAATAATATTTATTATTGATTTTTGAATGGTATTTTAGTTTGATTGTAAGTTAAAGAATATCTATGTGAAATTGTAAGTTAAAGAATATTATGTATATTTAAAAACATGTAGGATTCAGAATGCTTTTAAAAAAATCAATTTATTTTATTGCAAACAGTTTGTCATAAATGATAGTTATTATTGATTTTTTAATGGTATTCTAGGTTGATTGTAAGTTAAAAGAACATTTATGTAATAATTAAAAGGTACTATTCTGTAATATAAACGTTATCTGCAGTGCCTTGGCTATATAAATTGCCTTCCTGTTCTACTGAAAGATAACAGCACTTTGATGATGGACTTTTGTGATTTGGGTTTAGTTTTTATTCGGATGTTAAATGAATTTTACAAGTAATAAAAAAAGTATAAAAGATTTAGTTGTACATACTCCTTTATGCTGTGATAGTGTTAAAAATTATTTGATGGCCTGAAATTAGTGTTGTACATGTTGTGCAGACAAGGTTTGTATATTCCTTATATTCCACAGATATTTTAGAAACATTTTTTTTGGTCCTTTAAAGTTCTTAATTCGGCTAAAATTGCCAAAAGGTCCTTAATTTTACTCATTTCACATTTCTGCTTTTTTATGACTGCCATTTTGAGTGTGAATTAGTATTTTGGAAGAATATTTTTTGGCGATTCATTGAAAAATATGCGGTTGATCTTTACATTATGGTAACTTGGCGATTTTTTGGTGAACATTTGGCAACCAACTCTCCTACAGCAACCCTCTATTTTTTTCCCCGCCGCCATTTTGTCTTCACGAAGTAAAGACATGTTTCTTTTCTTCTTATCTACTGAACACTTCTTCCAACAATCTACTAGCCGAATTACACTTATGCTAGAAATTTTATCAAACAAAACTGCTTAATCATGACAAATATTCACTGCAAAATTGGGAAAAGTGCACAATACCATACTCCTTACGCGTTTTTCAAAATAACACATAAACCATGTACACGCCGACTTATTTTTACTTAAAAAAACATCCCAGAATTGCACAAAAATGGCATTGCGCAAACTCTTCACTATATCCATGTACACTGCTTTTTCTCATAAATTAGAAAAATTTCACGAAAATGCATAACAATTTTCTGAATCTTTAAACCCGGTAAAAAGAACATATATGAAATTACCTGATCGCGAAAAAGTATATACCCTTTCCAAATATGAACATTTCCCCGTATAAAATAAATAAAATATCCAAAAACTTTTACCTCTACATTATCTATTATATTACAAACGTCACTAACTAATTCATACCGCAAATATTACAAATGGTTACAAATACTTAGTGTCAAATATTTAAATTATTTCCATGCACGTTTATTTCAACTTAAACGTATACCAAATTCCTACAAACATAAAATTCACAAAATAACTATCATTTAATTAAAATATCACTAAACCATGTACACATCGACTTATTTTTACTTAAAAAAACATCCCAGAATTGCACAAAAATGGCATTGCGCACACTCTTCGCTATATCCATGTACACTGCTTTTTCTCATAAATTAGAAAAATTTCACACGAAAATACATGACAATTTTCTCAATCTTTAAACGCGGTAAAAAGAACATATATGAAATTACCTGATCGCGAAAAAGTATTTAACCCTTTACAAATATGAACATTTCCACATATAAAATAAATAAAATATCCAAAAACTTTTACCTCTAAATCATCTATTACGTTATACACGTCACCAACGAATTCATACCGCAAGCATTACAAATACTTAGTATCAAATATTTAAATTATTTCCATGCACGTTTATTTCAACTTAAACATATACCAAATTCCTACAAACATAAAATTCACAAAATAACTATCATTTCATTAAAATATAATTAAATTCAAAAACACTACTTAAAATATAAATGAGCACATACATTAAATTAATAAAAATTACCTTACAATCCTAATTACTTTAAACTAAATCATTGCTAATAACAATTTTCCCAATAATACCAAATTCCTTTCCACCTTACATTTAGAACAATGCATAAAAATAATATCCTCAAATAATTAAAAATACTAACTTACCTAATCTTCAGAATCTTGATTACGTGGCGGATACACTTTTCTAATTCATTCAATAAAATTATTGAAAGATTTTTTATGCGAATTTTTTCCTCCATACTTCCTCCGCTAAATAAAAAGCAAACTTCTCTTTATCACAATGCCTAAATACCCATTTCGAATTCACTTTAGTTAGGGCCATGGGATCCAAAAATTAAACAACACTGTTTCACACAACACAGAATAAAGCTAAATACAAGATTCCACATTTTTTCCCGATTTCCCCCCTTTTCCGATTAAAGAACCGTAATTCGTCCATTAATATCACATGACATATCCCATGATCTCTCATTTCCCTCACACAAAATAATGCGTAATCGGAACTGAGTACTGCTCACATTGTTACCAAAGTCCCAGGTAGTAACCTTTATCGCCTCCAAAATGTCGCCAAACTACCACTTACCATATTGTAAAGATCAACCAAATATGCATTTGATGGGTTATCTTATGAATTTGTTCCTATTTTAGAAAGTGACTAAAAACCGAAGTTGCAAGATTTGTTTACATTAAGTGCAGACTGCGACCTAAAAATAATGAAAAGTACTGTGCTTTTAACACATTAAGTTTCCTTAATAAACTGAAATATTATTTTTCATAACCTAATGCTTTCAGTAGAATTTCATGTTACAGATATATATGCATTCCTAAGAAATATTTGCTTTAAAAATACTTTATTGTGAAAGCATGTACAGTCAAAAGTCGTTAATCCGGACTCGTCGGGACTTCGGCGATTCCGGATTATCGATTTTTCCAGATTATAGATCATCAGTTTAAATCTCGTAAGATGGCATGCAGAAATTATAAAATTAAAAATATGAAACCGTAATTTATGAAATAAAGAACAATTATGATCTAAAGGGTATCAAAATTTACAAAAAAAAGCTTAATATTTATTTGTTTACTTTATTAACCATTTCTTTCAATGTAAGTTGTTTTTAAGTTGCTTCGTTTTATGTGATAATACTTTCTCTTTAATTCTATAAACAGACATAATTTTTTGTTCAGTTACAAAGTTCCGCTGTTCAAATCCCGTTAATTGATGTGGCGAGAATACCGACTAACTTGTCAATCGAAATGTTTTTTTCGTTTTCACTAACCTCTCTGTCACATTCTTCATGTCTTTTATCCATTTTTTTTTGCAGCAATTCCACTTTTTGTTTGATGGACATCGAAACATACTTTCGTTTTGTAGATCCTTTGGGAGCTCCAGAATCAAAAATTCTATTTGACATAATCGAAAGTTCAAGTTTACTTTTATAGTATTGCTCTTACAGTCTGCAAAAAATAATTAGTCGGATCCAATTCGAAAATTAAGGAACAACGCAATCATCAACATTATCTGGAATAGATAATTAGATAATTTTAGCTTACACCGTCCATTATACATAAAATGCGCACGCGAAAACCTATTCTGCGCTTGCGCACACGCAAATGCGCAGTCGTAAGAGGTCTTATGTGCACGCGTAAATGCCTGTGCGCATGTGTCAACGCGGGCATGCGCAGAAAGTTTTTAGCTTTGAGGTCCGGATTATAGATCATTCTGAATTATGGGTGTCCGAATTAACGACTTTTGACTGTATCAGATATTTCTAGTATATTCATGCTTACTAATTATAAAGTGATGCCTTTGTGTTTTTATGTTCCATCCCATTACCAAAATCGCATAATAGACTGTTTGACCATGAGCCATATCACTTGAATGATGTCATTCCCAGTAACCAATGGCAATGTTTTTTCATTCCTGGCCGAGCTTTTAATGTATTAAAGAATGCTTAAATGTGGGCCTCGAATATAGAATTCTGTAGTACCTAGAAATTTGTGTTGGTGTCCTGCAGACTCTACTAGACTGGAAATGAATTATCGCATTAGTCTCTAACATGTGACCAGTTCGGTAATCCTAGGAGAGCCCACCCTTGGCGACCAAACTGAAAAAGTGCTCACTTCTTCGTGTGTTTCTCAAAATCGCCAACTTGAAAATAACAAGTCAAAGAATTGCACGAACTCGATATCCATGTACACATCGACCTATTTTCACTTTAAAAAAATTGGAGAATTGCATAAACGTGGCATTGCACATTTCCTTGACTTTGTCCATGCACACATCGATATGCATCAAAACCAAAATAATTCGTGCCAAGGGTGCAAGCTTTGCTAGGATCTAACCGACCAGTTCTTAAGGAGTTTAAAATAACCTTTTTCTTTTCTTTTCTTTTCTTTTTTTTTTTTTTTTATTAAACTCTGTAATTGAATAGAAGCACTGCTTGTGCAACAAATGAACCTTCTCTACTTGTGGGTATTAAAATTTAGTTAAGATAACACTAAATTCAAATGCAGGTAATATAGTCGGAAACTATACATAAAATAGGCTACTTAAGCTGTCTTGAGATAATTATTGGTGTGCATTTTAAATGTGATTAGAAAGATGTTAAAGCCAGAAATACACCAAGGCAGAGTTGGTGATAGTATATAACAACAAGATGAGGTTGCCAGAATCTGCTAACTCCAAACATTCAAATCCTTGGCTTAAAGCACGAACACCTAATTTGCATTCTGGTGAGGATGATGGAAAAAAATGATAGTAAAGGTTCAAATCATAATAATTCGTAAATTAACATAAAACTGTATAACAGTAAAGAAGAAATATAGCAAAACAGTGTTAATAAATGCTTTTTCATTTTTCTTTTTCTTTTTCTTTCTTTCTTTCTTTTTTTTTTTTTTTTTTTTTTTTTTTTTTTTTTTTTTAAGAGATTGTAAAAGAATTCCTATTAAAGTGCAAAATAGTGACGTACTTAGAAGGCTTTTCAAAAATTGCAAAGCAAATACAAATAAAAAGTGACATTTGTGATATGCAGACTTCAGTCTTAAAATTCTTTTCTGAACAATGATTTATGCTTTAAAATAATTTTAAATTTCTCTCATTATACTCTATATAAAATATCTTCCATTTATTCTCTTTATTGAAATTTAGATTTGGGTGTATATTATAATTTAATGTAAAAGACTTACAGAATTTGGAATGCCACTTTGCTTTGAATTTTTTTTACTGCTACTGATAAAAATATTTAAATATAATGAACTAAATGTTATGTTTTTTAGGAACCAGTTAAACCATATGAAAGTCTTGATATATACTCTGATATCAGTATAATTAAGTCATGGATAATGGCAGGAAATCATCCCACAAGCTCAAAGATGGTATTTTTCAATCTGTTGAGGTATGTAATAAACAAGTTGCATTTTATTGTTACTATGTTCTGTAACTAAATAATTACTGTAAATACTTTAAATCATAAAATAAAATATTTGTTTCTTTCAAATGGAAGTGAAACATGGTAACGCTAAAATTAAAAATTAGGCCCAAAATATGTAACTTTAGTTTGTATAGATTTTGAATAAAATCGGTGATATAAAGTGTGATCAAATTTATATCCATCTTGAAGTCGGGTCCTGAAGAGGGAACTGTATCTTTTGTTCATGAAATTGAAAATTTTCTTTAAAAAAAAAAAAAAAAAAAAAATCAGTCTAAAGTTGCATTTTTGCTAAATTTAAAATCTATTCTTAGTTTGTTAAAAGTCGCAAATCAGAAATAAGTCTAAAACGGTTGCTCTGATAAAATTAGAAAAGAAAGAATCATTATTTCATTGATTGAAAGTAATAAAAAAATTAAAGCTCTATGTCGTGTTAGGAACAGAGGATAAATATTCTAATTTCCTAATACTTCCTTTTTAGTACAGTAGTAGGTCCAGACTCATGATGTCCAATCCTCAGTGATCCCATATCAAAAACCTTTGGACCACAAGCCAGGGGGAAGACATTTTCCCTTCCTACATATTTAGGAATGGAGAATATAATACTCAAAGAAAATATGTGCCATGAATGCAATTTTTTAACTGTCTAAGATTGCTATATCTCCCTTTCAAAATCTTGCCAGCTGGAGAATCACAGTCACATTTGAGAAACCATTGTTTGACATTGGTTACAACCTTACTTTCATCCTTTCAGTGTTTGTGGGGGGGGGGCTTAGCAGTTTTTTGCATAACTTAAACAATAAATGAAGCTTTCAGAAAATTTGTTTGGAATGAGATATTGGTCATGTTGGCTTTTTTTTTTTTTTTTTTTTTTTTTTTTTTGTTTTGCTAGATAGCTGAAGGAAAGGCAAAAAATTCCAAGGAACTTAAATTGAGTTTAACAAATTAAATTGCATGCTTTCTTAATTTTCTAATTTAATCCAGTTTGTTATTTTATGCTGGTTATTATTATTACAGCTATATTATCAAAATTAAAGTTGGAATTTTCTATTATGCGTAAAAGAGTTTCTAATTCTGGAGTTGCAGCAGGATTTGTGAAGTATAAGCATATTTCAATGTTTGTCAAGCAAAAAGTAGATAAAGGCATATCTAGCTCAAAATTATGTCAAGATTTTCACATTGAAAGGAAACAATATATGATCAAACAAAAGAAATGAAAACAAGAAAGAGAACTTTTCGAAATTTTTGTGTTGTCTGACATCCTACTTACATTGATTGAATAACAGAAAAACCATTCATTATGCTAAATGTGACAATTCTGACAAAGTGATAATTGAATGCATGAGGCAGCATCTCAAAGAGAGTATGCCAGTGATGGGTCCAATGCTGATGGCTTCGGTCAAAATATTACATTAGGAAATAGACTTAAAATAGACCTGAGTGAATGTATTCAGCAAGTTGATTAACCAGATTTAAAAATTGCCTTGATGTAAAGCAATTAAAAATTTCATGCAAAAATTCACCTATATCATACAGGAACAATTTGCTGATGAATTCATAGAACTCATTAATAGCAAATGTTATCTCCAGAACAGACTCAACTTACACAATGCTAACAGAAATAGCCTTTTATCCCACTATGTGGCCTGAAATAGTTTAGTGAATATGCAGAAAAGATTTCCAACTGTTTTCATAGATTCTAAAGTAATATTAATGATTTTAACATATGCAATGCTGAGAAAATGTAAATGTAACTGGGAAAATATACAACCTTGGGCAAAGGAGTAAAGATTTTCTTCACCATCTGTTGTTCAAATAAAAAAGCATGGATGACACTTGCACTTTTATTAGCAGTCTGTTTTTGCTTAAATATCAAAGAACTACGCAAAGTCAACTTCGGGCAACCAATTTTTTCTTTTTTGAAACTTGGAGATGTATGTTCGATTCATGCATGAGATAAGTGTAGATAACAACAACAATTTGGGCTTCCCTGCCTCGTGTAACTCAATCACATTACAGGTCCACTTCCCCTTTGGGCACGTCGTGGAGGTTCAACCTCCACTATTATCCTCCAAGGGAGCAGCGCACCACCTGGATACGACACCAGGCAGCACCGGTCATCTAAATGCTCCTGCCCGTCGCAGTGGGCCGTTACCCAGCAAACCGAGGGAAACTAGCCCTCCGGCTACGGTTCCACACCGCTCAGGACATGCTAGTCCCTGAGGACGGCCAATAAATGACCTTTCCCAGGGGCTTCAGAACCACCAAGTTCATAAATTTTATCCCCCGTGGCTGAGACTGCCTAGGTAAAGATCCTAACCAGTAGCTTTGCTGAGTTCTCTACGTCGACCCCCTGGGGGAAAGTGTAGATAAATCCTATTGCTACAGTTGGTCAAAAAGATAAACTTGAGAAGTTTTACAGCTCCTAAAAATAAGTTGTAATATGCTGCTTTCTTTCACAATGACAAATTGTTCAGCAGATAAAGCCATGAATAGAGTTAAAATAACTAAATGTTCAGATACTGAAATTAGATCGCATTCTTGTGATCCACACATCTTAAGACCAAACGTTTTGTGGTTAGAGAATTTGCATAGCCTATGGCTTTTTAAGCTTTTTTAGCATTTCTCCCTTACTAATTCTTTACATTAAATATAGATTATTTGCTCACAGATAAATAACCAAAAGTTACCAATTATTTAATTAAGCTTTATTGAATACAAAACTGTTAGGTTTTTAATGCCGTAGTATGTAAAGAAAATGTCTGTATAAGATGAAATGTAGTGAGGAGGGGGTGGAATTAGCTGATATTGAAAGGTTTTGAGAAAGTAAAAAAACTTTATAAAACACATGCTTCATGTGAAAAATTGTGTATCCATCATGAAAGTTGCTTTCAAATAAATTTTTATGCTCTTAAACAAGAGAAAAAGTAGATAAATAAATCCATTAAGACTCCCCAGCTATATCTTTTCTCTAAAGTAAATCTGTACAATATTTCTGCCATTGTATCTTGCACATGTGCCATCAGATTAATAATACAACATATTATGAAAAGTGTCAATTAAATATCTTTAAAATCTCAGATTGATTAAAAAATTAGTTTATTAACCTTTTATTGCCACATATTTTTTAAAGCCATAAGATATGTATAAAGGCTACTTTTAAGCAGGGCTGTGGAGTCGGTAAAGAAAACTCCCGACTCCGATTCCTCTCATATATATATATGTAAACATATACACATGGGTTACAGATTATTTTTTTAATATAAAAGAAGTGATAGATGCTACAGGGTAAAAATGATGCCATAGCAAATTATTTATATTAATTAGCATTTTTTATGAAATGGAAAAAATGGCATTAGTTATTTCTAAGAAACAGTATAGCTTCGGCAAGATCTTTGTTGGAGTGCCATAGATCCAATTTGATAAAATTCAGAGCTGAGAAGAGTCTCTCCACACTAACTTGACTAGCTGTTACTGTTAGGGCTACTTCTTTTAACTTTTCAGGATAGATTTTTTTATAAGTTCTAAAAGAGCTGTCTTGCAAATGCAATCGTATTTCTCTATTTCTTCAAAGGCCGTTTAGAAATTTTGTTTGTATTTTTTCATTTTTATATCTAAAGGCTCTTGGTTCTTTATTTTCATTCATTTTGCCTTATCCTTTTCAATATTATCTAAAAATATTTCTCAAAATCTAATTCATCACTGGAAGAGGATGATAGACTCAGTTGCAATGTCTGCAATTTGACTGTCCTGATTCGAATTCTCCAATTGTTCTGAGAAATATTTCGTTCTTAATGAAACTTCATAGATGGTTTTCTTTGCCTTTTTAATTTGTTCATCATCCAAGAAAATTCGGTGTTTTTGATCTACGTAGTATATTGAACCCAGCAAGATCTCATTGTCTAACAAATTAGTTTCTCTTTTCTTCAATAAAGAAATGATTCCTTCTGCAATAAACCCTCCATTTCAGAGAGAACAAACATTCTGTTCTTCCATTCTCACCTCATGTCAATTCTTCAGATTGCAGCTTTTTTGAGGCTATATACAGTGTAGAAGGAAGAGTTTCCAATTCTGCAAAATCATTCCACTCTTTCTGTTAGGGAAACATTAGGGTTATGTACATCTAAAAATGTTCTTAATTCTAAAAACCTCTTTAGCATCAAATATGTACTTCCTTATCGGTTGCTTGATCAGTAATTGCTTCTTTTTCAGCTCACTTCCTAAAAATGGCATCAATGTTGGGAGTTCTTGCTGCTATTGCTGCTTATCTAAATTTACCAGTGAGATTTGTAACTAAAATGAATCAGTTTAATCACTAATGGCAAATAACACAAACTTCTCCCTTATATTTATTAATATCTCAATAAAATAGAAAATAGCTATTTATTAATGTATATAATCCATAAATAAAAATAATAACTCAGCTTGTCATTAATTTTTTTTTTCAATTCATTTTAATTTCATTTCAAATTCAAACTGTCCAAGAAAAACTGGAGTCGACCTGTTTCTTAGCACTCCAGTTCTGATTCCTTTTACCCCAAAATTTGCCCGATTCAGACTCCACAGCCATGCTTTTAAGAATCTATTTCTATTTGTTGCCATAAAAAAAAACTTTTTCGTCAAGTGATCCGGAATGATCTATAATCCGGACCTCAAAGCTACAAACTTTCTACGCATGCGCATAATACATTTACGCATGTGCGTTTAATGTATAACGGATGGTATAAGTTAAGCTAAAATTATCTAATTATCTATTTTACTTAATGTTGCAGATTGCATTGTTCCTTAATCTTCTAATTGAATCCGTCGTATTATTTTTTGCAGACTGCTAGAGCAATTTTATAAAAAGTAAGCTTGAACTTTCGATTATGTCAAAAAGAGTTTCCGATTCTGGAGCTGCCAAAGGAGCTGCAAAGCGAAATCATGTTCCGATGTCCATTAAACAAAAAAGGGAACTGCTGCAAAAA